ATTCTTCCTCCCTCCTGGCCCACTCCCTATTTCACTCAGGCCCTTCCTCAGAGGTCACCTCCTCAGAGAGCCCTGCTCCGACTACCTCATCTGCAGTGGCCCCTCACACTTTCTACTCTGTCTCCGTTCCTTTGTGCGCTCATCACCACCTGCACCTACATTCCTCCCTGTATTTGCAAACTGCTGTTCTCCCTCCCTGGAACAGGACCTCCCCAAGGGAAGGCCTTTGTGCTGTGTCCCTGTACCTTCCGTGCCTGACACAGGCCTAACACACAGCAGGCCCTTAGGGAAGGGCAGTAGTTCCTCTCAGAGAATTACAGGGTCCGGCACACATAACGCCCCCTTTGTGTTACAAAATCTTTTACCACAAAATCATAAGCATGTAATTCTGTAACATAAGAGTATCACACCCAAGTATACCATATGACACTTTAGGTGAAACGTTCAAATTAAAACTATAAATTATTATATCCAGATTATTACCCTATGCACCACACTCAAGCAGGCCTTATTTCTGCTGGACCCTATAGATCTGGGCTTCATGAACCAGGACATAATGTATAGGTAGTAAGTTCCCTGCCCTGGGAGGCATGCAAGTAGAGTTTGGGATTCAAGGCTTCATGCAGGTTGGACAGGCTCTAGGATTCTGTAATGGGCATAGCCGGGCTCCTGCAAGTTCATGGTATGGGGCCCTCCTGGCATTTCCATCACAGCTTCACAGAGTAACCAAGCCAGAGAGTCGAAGGCTGACCCACATCTGCCTTCAGAGGGAGGTTGGAAGGTACAGCAGGGAGGGAAACGGGGAGGGAGGGAAGGAGGGGTGGTTTCAGGTTTCCTGTTTGGTCTTGACAGAATCAGGGCTGAAGGAGGAGGAAGAAGAGGAAAAAGGAGGAATCCAGGCTAGGGGAGGTGGCAGGGAAGGTAAAAAACGGGCAGGGAAAGAGGGACATGGTCACACTGAAGTCCGAGTCTGTGCCTCCTGCCCTTTCCCTAGGTTCAGAGAGCGCTCACAGGAGCTGCTTGTGCCCTCTGAGTCCGCCTTCTTGGGGGAGGCATCATGCTCCGCTGACTCACTGACTTGAGGGGTCCAACAAAGCCAAAGCTGTTTGGTCCTGTTGTCCTGGCTCCCAGGACCGGGACCAGGTGAGGCAGGAGAGGCGCTTTTCCAAACGGCATACCCTGGGTGCTTCTCCTGCCACAGCCTAGTCTTGCCCCTGTTAACTCTCTGTAAAACAGTTCCCATCAAATAGATATGGAGTTCCAATTTGGACATTCCAAGTGTTGGGCAACTCACCACCTGACTTTCCAGTTCTAGACCATTCACACTGGTACAGAGGGATTGACCTCTGTTGGGGCCTTGCTGAGTGGTGGGTGCTTCACATACTGGGCTCTCCCAGAATCCCCCGTCTGGACAGGAGGGGTGGAGGCTCCAAGAAGGGGCCAGTCTACACAGGGTTACACAGCAAGTGAGGGACAGAGAGAGGTCTGCCCTCTTGGCTGTATCTGGGGTGGGGTGGGGTGGGGACTATGAGGCTGGCTCTCAAATTTCCACCCCCGAGACAGTCCTGGCACCCAGCTTCTGCAGAGATGGCTGGCAGACCGAGCTCCAGGGAAGAGTGAGATGGGGCTGGTCAGGCCACAAATTTAGTGGTTGGCTGGCCACTCCACATGCCACTGGGTGCCCAAGGCACCCAGGCCTTCTGGTTGTATCTTAGACTGTGTCCTCTGCCCCCAAGGCCCAAGGCCAGCCCTCCTCTCAGAGCCTTTCCCGACTCTTGCTGTCCTCAGAGGGTCATTGAGTGACTGTCCTCTTCCTCCTACCTCCTCAGGTCTGGATGGTGGAAGCAGAACACAAAGGTGTGAGAAATAGAAAGCAAAAAAGAGACAAGGCAATGTGCAGAGAAGAGAAGAATGGGACGGGAAAGGGAGGGGCTCACAAACCGGGAACAATAAGGAAAGGGTGGAGGCGTGAGGTCTACTTCTGAGCTCTGGCCTGGACTCCAGCCTGGGTTCCGTCTTTTTACTCAGTTAAATCAGGGTTTTTACACCAGCACTGTTCGGTTTTGTGTTTTTGAGGTGAGTGAGGGTGTGAGCACCCACAGGCAGAGGGCTGTGGCCATGTGAGAGAAAAGTTCTGTTGTCCTTGGCACCCCTGACAAGGCCATGGAAGGACCTGGAAAAGGGGGGAACTGGGTGTGTGTGAAGGAGATAGGTCATTTCCTCACTGAGGCTCCTGAAGAGGGGGAGAGCAACTGGGTCCAGCCCCCCAGCACCATCTCCTTAGTCACCCTGCCTGCCTACCTGGGATTTGAGCCCCTTCCAAGCTGTCAGGAGCTTGGGAGCAGGAGGAGGGATGGCCAGTCCTGTGGTTGGAGGCTGGATAGGCCTTGCTGGTGGTCTGTTTGATCAAAAAAGCCTGAGCTGCTAACCTGGGCTGCTGGCCAGGCTCTGTTCGTGTGTGTGTGTGTGTGTGTGTGTGTGTAACTCTGACCTCACACAGAAGGGGAGATAGGTCTAGGTACCCCCTCAAAAGACCCCCAAAGCCTGTCACCCTAGGCTTGACACCCTACCTTCTTCACCTGTCCTAGGGATTGAGTTGCCTCTTGGCCTCCCAGGGCCCTATAGTGAATAAGAGTCAGGCTTCACCGGGATTGCTGGGAGCCTGTGAAGCTTTGGGGGGCTGAGAAGACTTCATTGACCACACAGACACACACACCCTCCTAGACCCAGGTCCTTCTGCAAGGGGACATCTGTGCTGAGAGTCAGGAGATTTCTGTATTATTCAGATGTGTATTTGGTGTAGGGGTTTCCCTTCTGCACCCTGGGCCTTAGTTTCTTGGCAGTGACCTGTTATGGCGTGTTGGGAGGGCCGGTTCCATGCTGCAGCTGCCCCAGGAAGGAGAAGCCCAGGCTCCCTGAGCCATAAATGCTTGTTGGTTCTGAGCACAACACCCATACCTCCTTTACTTCTTTTATTTGATGTCAAGAAGATATTTGATGTGACTGTCCCTTTTTTAGAGGAGTAAACCAAGGCTTAGAGTGGTGAAGAGCTGCTCAGGGTGTCAGCGAGCCGGTGGTTTCGAACAGACAGGGCCCCGGGGATCCTCGGGCCGGTGCGCACTCCGGGGCGCTCACCACAGGTGGTAACGGAGGTGCTGGGAGCTGGAGCGGGCGCGCAGCGCACGTTGACCGCCAGTAACCCAGGCGGCTGTCGGCGATGAGCGGGTTAAGGGCGGACGCCCGCGGGTAACCCTGGCCCCAGCAAAGTCTTGGGGTGAAACCCGAACCTGAACCTCTGTCGGGTGGGGCGGGGCCCTAGCTAGGTGGCGGCGCGGCGGTTGATTGGCCTTTCACGCTCACCCCACGCCCGGCCCGCGGCCGAGGGGGCCGGGCCGGCGGGCGGGGGCGGGGTGCTCCGGCCGCTTTTAAGCGCCACGCAAGCGGGGGTGGCGAAGTCAGCGCGGAGACCCGCAGGCCGGCTGCCAGGACTCCCTGAAGGGGTGGCAGGCTGCGGAGTCATGGATTGCACGTTCGAAGGTATTTTTTGGAGGACCCCCCACCCCTTCATTACAGAGCCTCCACTTCCCCTGTGGGGTCACTCACCCCGGTTCCCTGGAGGGTGTGTGTGTGAGTGGCGGCTGTTGGACCATGAATGGGGAAAAAAACGATTCCCGAGGGGGAGGTGTACCACTTCCCAGCTCTCAGGAGGGATAGTGGACCACCGTTCAACCTCATTAGTTGCCCCCAGCCCAACGTCCGCAGTGAGAAACTGACTTTCCCACATTCTCTGCTGTCCGTCTGGGGCACTGGAGGAAGGAAGAAGCGGGGGGGGCGGGGGGGGACAGTGGTCTTTCTGTCTCCCAGGGGAGCTCTGAACTGTCCAAATCTGGGATCCCAGCCCTGGATTCAGTCAGGACCAGTTTTCTTTCGAGTCCGAAGTTTCCCCATCTATTAAAGAGCTCAGTGAGGACTGGGGTGAGGGATGGGAGATCCTGCTAGTGAAAGTACTTTGTGCCTTCATGAACCTGGAGGGCCCACAAAATACTTCTGTTTGAGACTGAGCCCAGCACCCCATCTTGCTCACTGGGAGGTCTTAGGGAGGCCCCTCCTGCAGTGACTTTCCTGTCTGGGCACCTATCAGTAGGAAGGAATTGGTGCTGGCTGCCTGCATGCAAAGCCTCTTAGCAGCCCTGCGGAAGGGGTTTAATCTCTTGTATGGATGAGGGATGAGAAAGCTGAGACCCAGTGAGAGAAGGCCATTGGCTCGGACACCACCTCAAGTCAGTGTGGACAGGGCTGAGAACTCTGGCTGGGGACCTTGGGGGCTTTGGGGATTCCCAGAGTTGTGCTCATGGGTTCTGCAGGGTACTTTGACCCAGTGGGCAGCTGCCCACAGTGAGTTAGAGGGCCCCAGGATGACCCAGTCAGGTTGCCAGTCATCTGCGGTGGGGGGTGTGGGAGGGGCTGTAGTAGAGAGTGTGTCCCAGTTTGCAGGAGGAGGAAGGAGTCAGGACAGACAATGTTCACTTTTCCCCCTGTATAGAGGGGAAACTAAAGTCCCGAGTGGAAAGGTCCCAAGTGTGCTTGGCTGCAGACAGGGTCTGGGCTTATGCCCAGAACATGCAGAGACACACTGCTTGGCACAGACATGGCCAGCAGCTGACTCTGTCCCAAGCCTTGGTCTGGTCCACGGAGTATGAATTGGTAATGGCTCTTAAGTCAGCAGTCTTGGACCCAAGCTCCAGCCTATTTGTGGGGCCTTGGCCCTTCATGTCACTGACCTTATCTAATTGTTGCAAGGGCTTTCTGGTAACATGTGAAGCACTAGGCATTGCTACTAGATGTCACAGGTGCCCAAGAAATGGCTGTGTGTTTGGGACCACAGGCTTGAACATGTACAGCAGTGCAGATAAGGGGTGTGTGTGCAAACGTGTGATGCCTTTTACAGGGCTAGTCCCCGAAGGCTCCACAGTCGCTCACACAGCCTCTTCTTTCCACAGACATGCTTCAGCTCATCAACAACCAAGATGACTTCCCTGGCCTGTTCGACCCGCCCTATGCTGGGGGCGGGGCAGGGGGCACCAACCCCCCCAGTCCTGAAGCCAGCTCCCTGGGCAGCTTGTCTTCGCCTCAAGCCACTATGAGCTCCACACTTGAAGGCTTTCTGGGGGGCCCCAAGGCAATACCCCCACTGTTGTCCCCTCCTCAGCCTGCTCCCACATCAAAGACATGCCCTTCTGTGCCCGCCTTCTCCCCTGGGCCTGGCATCAAGGAGGAACTGGTGCCGCTGACCGTCCTGCAGCCCTCCACCCCACAGCCCCTGCCGGGGGCCCTCCTGCCCCAGAGCTTTCCAGCCCCAGCCCCACTGCAGCTCAACTCCACCCCTGTGTTGGGGTACCCCAGCCCTCCTGGAGGCTTTTCCACAGGTAAGGGGGCACATGGAGGGAGAGGGATGGCAGGAGCACAGAGAGAAGGGTCCACTTTGGTCATGGTGGAGGAATTTACAGGCTTTAGAAAGCTGTTTCCTCTCTGCTGCTTGAGACGCTGACTAGCAGCACCTGTGTTCCCCTTGTTGGGCTAAGCCTTGCCTTCTGTTCTGCTGGGGCGTCGCTTCCGTGCTGCCCGTACAGAGGCACAGGCCTGGCTGGAAAGCTCACTCATTCACATCACAGCCCCAGGCAGGGGATGTTGACAAAGGAAACTGAGACCACACAGGTAATGACTCACCCAAGGTCACACATGCTAGGGACCTGAGGACAAGTTGAAAGTGGGTTAGGGCAGCTTGTACCAGAGACTTCATCTCTGCAGGGACCCCTCCAGGGAGCACTCCACAGCCACTGCCTGGCCCACCAGGGGTCTTGCCCTCCTCCTTGCACACCCAGGTTCAGGGTGCAGCCCCTCAGCAGCTGTTGACAGCCACATCCACCACCACAGTGGCTCCTGGAACAAACAGTGTGACCTCGCAGATCCAGCAGGTCCCGGTAAGGGAATTTGTCCAGGGGCTGGGGACCTGGCAGCTTCTGATCCAGACAGAGCTTACAGTGGAGACCTCCCCTGCCCCCAGGTGCTGCTGCAGCCCCACTTCATCAAGGCAGACTCGCTGCTCCTGACAACCATGAAGGCAGACACAGGAGCCCCTGTACAGGCGGCCGGTGTCGGCTCCTTGGCCCCGGGCATGGCTGTGCAGACTGGGCCCTTGCAGGCGGGTAGCATGGGCAGGGTGGGAGGGTATGGGGTTTGTGCACATGCGTGCCTGCCTGGTGACGCACACCTGGCTCTGCAGACCCTAGTGAGCAGTGGGACCATCCTGGCGACTGTGCCGCTGATAGTGGACACTGACAAGCTGCCCATCAATCGGCTGGTGGCCAGTGGGAAGTCCCTTGGTTCGGCCCAGAGCCGTGGCGAGAAGCGCACCGCCCATAATGCCATTGAGAAGCGCTACCGCTCCTCCATCAATGACAAGATCATCGAGCTCAAGGACCTGGTGGTGGGCACTGAGGCAAAGGTGCGGGTGAGGGCCTGCCCAGGCACAGAGTACGGCGGCTCTGGGCAAGGAGGCAGTGGGGAGGGAGAGGACTTGGGCTGGACCTGGACAGACCAGGCCTTGGGCTTCAGTCTGTCCAGGCCTGGTCAGCTTTATGTATCCAGCTAAGTTTCATGGAAGGCCCCTGTGCACCAGGGGCTGTTCTAAGCACTGGGGATAAAGAAGTGACCAGACAGGCAAAAATCCTCCTGTTGAGGAACCAATGTTCTAGTTGGGGGGATGACAACAAATAAGATAAATACAGAATAGTTAGCCAAAATAATTTTAGGACTGTATAAATGGAACTATTCCTTAACTGGTAAGGAGTTGAAATTACATTCTGCCCTTTGAAGGCAACTGCAAGGCTGATGTGGCCCCTGGTGAAAATGAGTTTGACACCCCGGGTTAGAGTGTGACAGATGGTTTTGAGTGCTATGGGAGAAAAGAAGGCAGGAAGAGGGATGATGAGCTGCGGATCTAAATTGGGTGGCCAGGGAAGGAAGGCCTCACAAAGTGCTATGATGTGAAGCAGACCCGAAGAAGACGAGGGAGTGGGACACGAAAATGCTAATAATCATAGCAGTTAGTGAGATGGTATTGCATGTGTTTTACATATTAATCATTGTGTCCAACCTGTGCGGAAGGTACTAGGGGAGGAATATTCCATGTAGAAGGAACAGCGAGTGCAAAGGTCCTGAGGCAGCTGTGTTACAAAGAAGCCCTGACACCCCACACCCCCACCCCCACTCAGGTGCCCACTTGCCAGGCCTGACCGGTAACTACTGTGCTGTCTCCCTCCCACCTCCTGCAGCTGAACAAATCTGCTGTCTTGCGCAAGGCCATTGACTACATTCACTTTCTACAACAGAACAACCAGAAACTCAAGCAGGAGAACTTGAGTCTGCGTACTGCTGCCCACAAAAGCAGTGAGTCCTGGCCTCCCATGGCCTGTGGTTCTGGCCCTGCCTCCAGCCCTGCCCCACTGCTGGTCTCACCTTAAGCTCTGAGCCTACAAGGGCTCTTAGCTCTTCCTTTTTCCTAAATTGGCCCTCAGAAGCTAGCCCAACTCCCAGTCGCCTTCCCCAGGGCCCTAAGTTGATTTGGGTGGGCTGGGGGTCTCTGGCCTTTACCCTCAGCCCTGCTCCTTTCCCTCCTGTAGAATCTCTGAAGGACCTGGTGTCCGCTTGTGGCAGTGGCGGGAACTCTGATGTGCCCATGGAGGGCATAAAGCCTGAGGTGGTGGACACACTGAGCCCACCACCTTCGAACGCCGGCTCGCCCTCCCAGAGCAGCCCCTTGTCCCTTGGCAGCAGGAATAGTGGCAGTGGTGGCAGCAGCAGTGATTCGGAGCCCGACAGCCCAGCTTTCGAGGACAGCCAGGTTGGGCTCTGCACCGTGGCCCTTTCTGGTCTCTGCACTAGGGCTGGGCCAGGAAGAAGCCCCTAACATATGCCACCTCCTGGTTTTTTTGTTTGTTTGTTTTTTAAACAAAGTGGTTCTTTTTTTTTTTTTTTTAAAGATTTTATTTATTTATTTTTAAGAGGGAAGGGAGGGAGATAGAGAGAAAGAGAGAAACATCAATGTGCGGTTGCTGGGGGTTATGGCCTGCAACCCATGCATGTACCCTGGCTGGGAATCGAACCTGGGACACTTTGGTTCCCAGCCTGCGCTCCACTGAGCGCAGTGAGCTACACTCCACTGAGCTACGCCAGCCAGGGCTGCCACCTCCTGTTTTATAGACAGAAAACCTGAGGCCTGGAGCCCTGCAGGGCCCCACAGTCAGGGTGGGTGGGGTGCCAGTCCCAGTCCCTCCGGCAGTGCTCTCTGGGCCATTCCTGCTCTGTCCTTACCACCCTGCTCCGCCCCAGCAGGTGAAGCCGGAGCAGCTGCCATCCCCCCACAGCCGGGGCATGTTGGACCGCTCCCGCCTGGCCCTGTGCGCTCTCGTCTTCCTCTGTCTGTCCTGTAACCCTTTGGCTTCCCTGCTGGGCAGCTGGGGTCTCTCTGGCCCCTTGGATGCCACCAGCATCCACCAGGGCTCTGGACGCAACGTGCTGGGTGCTGAAGAGACAAGTGGGACAGGCCAGCATGGACACCTCTGGCAGACAGGTAGCAGGGGGACTTTTGAGGGTGTAGACCCCAGGCCCGTGAGCTCGGGCTCTACACTCGGGTTCTACACTGGGGAGCTATGTCCCCAGCCCTTCTGTCTGTCCCCAGATGGCCCTGGCTGGGTACCAAGGCTGGTACCCCCACTGGTCTGGCTGACTAATGGGCTGCTGGTGCTGGTCTCCTTGGCACTTCTCTTTATCTATGGAGAGCCAGTCACACGGCCCCACTCGGGCCCTGCCATGCACTTCTGGAGGCATCGTAAGCAGGCTGACCTGGACTTGGCCAGGGTAAGGGGCAAGGAGAAACCTGGGGGGTACCTGGGAAGGTGCTTGGCATCACCCACTCTCCTCTGCCCTCTGGGTGTGCCATGAATCTGCCCTGTCCTCTCCACTCTAGTCTGCCGCTCAGTCTCCCACTGACCCTTGGTGGCCCAGCTCACACTGCCGGGGGACACTGGGGTCATAGCAGGGAGCCCAAAGTGGAGGGATCTTCAGTTCAGAGCTAGCAGAATAGCTATGCTTCACCCAGAAAACCATCACCCACAGGGGGACTTTGCCCAGGCGGCCCAGCAGCTGTGGCTGGCACTGCAAGCACTGGGCCGGCCCCTGCCCACCTCCCACCTGGACCTGGCCTGTAGCCTGCTCTGGAACCTTATCCGCCACCTGCTGCAGCGTCTCTGGGTGGGCCGCTGGCTGGCAGGTCGGGCTGGCGGCCTGCAAGGGGACTGTGCTCTGCAGGCAGATGCCCGCACCAGTGCCCGAGAGGCGGCCCTTGTCTACCACAAGCTACACCAGCTTCATGCCATGGGTATGATGGGCAAGGAGCTGCCTAGGGGATTCAGCCACTCTGACAGCAGCCCAGCTTCATGACCTGCCTGTTTTCCAGGGAAGTACACAGGTGGACACCTCACTGCCACCAGCCTGGCACTGAGCGCCGTGAACCTGGCAGAGTGTGCAGGGGATGCCCTGTCTGTGGCCACGCTGGCTGAGATCTACGTGGCTGCTGCTCTGACGGTCAAGACCAGTCTCCCTCGGACCTTGCATTTCCTGACCGTGAGTTGGGGGTAGGCTGTAGGGACAGGGATGGGGGCTTGTCTTTGTAGCTCTGACCAGTGGCTCTTGGAGGAGGGGCTGCACTGCATGAGGCCCTTGGTCAGAGGCTGGGCTCCAGGCCCAGCTGGGGTCTCAACCCAGGGTTGGGTTTGAGCTCTGCCTGGTCCAGTGTGACAGCCCACCTCCCCTCACCTACAGCGCTTCTTCCTGAGGAGCGCCCGCCAGGCCTGCCTGGCACAGAGTGGCTCAGTGCCACTTGCCATGCAGTGGCTCTGCCACCCTGTGGGCCACCGTTTCTTCGTGGATGGGGACTGGGCCGTGAGCAGCACCCCCAGGGAGAGCCTGTACAGCTCAACTGGAAACCCAGGTGTGCTCTCACCCTGCCCCTGCCCCCGCCCCCACCCCTCCTCACCCTTCATTCTCCATCCCCCGTTTCTCACCCTCACTCTCGCCCATTCCTGTCCCCTGCACCTCTGGATGTCCCTGCCCACCCCTGTCTGAGGCCTGGCCATCTGCTGTGGCTTTGGGGGCTGGGTCTCTTCCAAGTAGGGCTCTTCAGAAGCAAACAGAGGCAGGGAGACAGAGACCTGCGTCTCAGAGACCAGCAGGTGGCTGATTTGGGAGGTGATCCCAGGCAACAGCACTGTGTTGTGAGGAGGTTAGACGGGGAAGACAGCTGATGAGGGAGTGTTGAGGAGTAGGTGACACTGTCTGAGGTCAGTTATCCTAAGGACAAGGACAAGGGTATTTCTTCACCAACTTTTGTCTGTCTGAGAGCCTAGCCCACCTGTGTGCCCAGGAAAGAACCCTTGGTGTGGAGAGGGGGATATGGAGAATAGAAGGTCCCCCAACTCACACCCTCCTCCCCACAGTGGACCCCTTGGCTCAAGTGACTCAGCTATTCCGAGAACACCTCCTGGAGCGCGCACTGAACTGTGTAGCCCAGCCCAGTTCCAGCCCTGCATCAGCTGACGGGGACAGGTGAATGTCCCCGTTCCCTGCCGTGAGGCAAAAGCTCTCCACTGTGGGGTCTGGGAATGGCTGTGTCCAGGGACTTGTGGAAGTGGCCAGAGCCAAGTGACTGGCCACTTGCTCTGTGGCCTTGGGTAGACCTCAGCTCCTTTCTGGGTCTTAGTTTCCCCACCAGCCTGGCAGGAGGAGATTGGGCCACTTTATAGAGCCAGGAAATCAGGCTCTGCTCTGGTGGGAAGATGAGAAGGGCCACTGCGCTCCCGGGACTCCCAGGGTCCCTGCCCCTGTTCTAACAGCCAGTTCCTCCTGCCACAGGGAATTCTCAGATGCCCTTGGGTACCTCCAGCTGCTGAACAGCTGTGCAGATGCTGTCAGGGCTCCAGCCTGCACCTTCTCTGTCAGTTCCAGCATGGCCACCACCACAGGTGAGCCCCAGGCCCCTGCCCTGTAGCTGCTGCTCAGTCCCTGCTCCACAGCAGCTCAGCCTCAGGTGCAGTGTGGCTGAGTTTCAGGGAGTGCCCCCATCTGCACCCTGCTCTCTGCAGGCACAGACCTGGTGGCCAAGTGGTGGGCCTCTCTGATAGCTGTGGTGACCCACTGGCTGCGGCGGGATGAGGAGGCAGCTGAGCGGCTATACCCACTGGTGGAGCGCCTGCCCCGTGTCCTGCAGGAGTCCAAGTGAGTGCTGGCCAGATTGGCCCAGCGTTGCGCCCCCCGCCTTGTTCTGCATAGTTGGGATCGCCACCCTTTCTTTGCCATGAAGCTGGAACCAGGGCAGTGGGAGCTCAGTGAGGGCCTGTGGCCTGGTCTGACCATCACTCTTCTGCCCCGGCCCCAACAGGAGACCCTTGCCCAGGGCAGCTCTGCACTCCTTCAAAGCTGCCCGGGCCCTGCTAGGCCGTGGGAAGGCAGAGTCTGGCCCAGCCTGCCTGGCTGCCTGTGAGAAGGCCAGTGGTTACCTGCAGGACAGCCTGGCTACCACACCAGTTGGCATCTCCATTGACAAGGTGAGGGGTGGAGCCAGGGGCCTAGCAGCCTGCAGGGTCGCAGCCTTTCCATTCCCTGGCCATCCCCCAGCAGGCTGCAGAAGGCTGGGGTTGGCCTGACAGCACAGGACTGAGGCCCAACTGGCTATGCTCTCTGGCTGACTTGGGTTCCTTGGAGAGTGGTTACCACTGTTCAGCCCTAAATCCCCCCACCCCAGCCCAAGAAGGGGTGGCGTGAGTGCTGTGGCAGGGCCCTTCTTGGAGGCTGCAGCCATGGCTGGTGGTGGGTGTGGAGGCCTGGAGAGGTGGGCGGTCCCGAGGTGCATTGCTGTTGCATTGCATGTGTGTGAGGTGGGTGCAGTGCCTCGGCAGTGCAGCCCGGAGCCAGCCCCTGGCACCCCAGGCCCCCGCCCTTCCCCTTCCAGAGCTGGAACACCCCCAGTGACCCCTGCCCTGCCTGCCCTCCCCAGGCTATGCAGTTGCTCCTATGTGACCTGCTCCTTGTGGCACGCACGAGTCTGTGGCTGCGGCAGCAGCCATCTGTACCAGGCCAGGCCTCGCAGGCCCCAGGCAGTGGAGCTCCACCCTCTGCCCTTGAGCTACGTGGCTTCCAGCGGGACCTGAGTGGCCTGAGGCGTCTGGCGCAGAGCTTCCAGCCTGCCATGCAGAGGGTGAGTGCCCACCACGGGCCCTTCCCTTCACTGAGGGGATGTGAGGCAGCTGGTGTGGAGAGAGGGTGGGAGCCTGGCCTGAACCTTGACTCACCTGGCCTCTCTTGCCCAGGTATTCCTACATGAGGCCACAGCCCGGCTGATGGCAGGGGCCAGCCCCACGCGGACACAGCAGCTCTTGGATCGCAGTCTGAGGAAGAGGGCCAGTTCCTGTGGCAAAGGAGGTGAGAGGGGCTGTGGACCATGTAGGAATATGTGGGGGTGCTGGTGCAGACTCATCTTTCCTGACCAGGTGTGTGTGTGGTGGGGCTTGCTGTGTTTGAGAATACAATGAGGTGACCGTCATTTGTGGGATACGCAGCTATGCACGCGTGTCTGTACTGTGTCTGGCTCTGAGAAGGGTCCAGACCTCCCGAGAGTGTGCCTGAGATCCAGGTGGGGAGGCAGGGGCCGGGCATCTGGCGGGCCAGGGGAGTGGTGGGGCACTAAACTCCGCCCACGCCCCACCTTGTGATGCGGCTTGTGTACAGGAGGGATGGAGCTGGAGCCATGCCCCTCGCGGCGGGAGCAAGCTGAGGCCCTGCTGCTGGCTTCCTGCTACCTGCCACCCTGCTTTCTGTCGGTGCCTGGGCAGCGTGTGGGCATGCTGGCCGAGGCAGAGCGCATGCTCGAGAAGCTCGGTGATCACCGCCTGCTGTACGACTGCCAGCAGATGCTCTTGCGCCTTGGCGGCGGGACCACAGTCACCTCCAGCTAGACATGCTCTCCGGCCCTGCCCAGCCCCAACCTGCCAGCTGTCAGGCCCCAGTACCCGTTTTAAGCCACCTTAGTGCTTTCTGGTTCTGTCACGGGCCAGAACCTGGAATGCTAAAGGCAGTGCCAGAGACCCCAGTATCCACCGTTCACCTAGGGACTGCACTGCATCGGCAGGGTTTGGGATGGGGAATGGGACTTTTTTGGGCTTTTGCTGCTTGCCCTGGGAGGCCAGAAGGAACGTGACCCCGTCACTCCTGCCCCTTTCTAACCCGACTAGCAGTGACCAGGATGATGCTGACCTCTGGTGGCCGATCGGAGGATTGCAGGGGCCGGTCCAGTCTGTTACCTCTTGGCTCTGTAGGTGCCTAGTGGCTTTTCCCTCTGCTATCTAAGAGGGAAGATAGGGGGTATGTGTTACTCAGCTGTGGGGGGAGCAACTTGTCTTTCCTAGCCAGCAAAGGGGCCCGGCCCCAACGCCCCTCTTTGCCTTCTGGAGAGATGTGTACATAGTGTAGATCAGGGTGCATCAGCCTCCTGGCCTTGGAGACCCAAGTGTTACTTTGCCTTTTGCAAACTTTATTTTCATAGGTCGAGAAGTTTTGTACAGAGAATAAAAAGTGAAATTATTTATAATCTGGGTTTTGTTTCTTTGGGGAGAGTGTGTGCTTCAGCTGATATACTTGCTAACCAGAGGGGTCCTCAGTGCCTTCTCCCCATTACTGGGTCAAAGACCTCCCCACATGCATCTGTCATGAGGGACTAGATCCCCCCCGCCCCCGATAGTACAGGAGGCCCAGGGAGGGCATCTAGCTGACTTGGATCCCACTGACCTCTGGGCCACATTTGGGCCCCCAATCCTTAGGGCCATTTGATTTCAGCTGTCTTTTCTCACCTCCCAGCTTCTACTCCTGCCCACTCCCAGGGTGACATGGGGGACACATGGAGATCCAAGTGTCCTCAAGGATCTGTTGACAAGAGCTACAACCTGGTGTCCCTGAGTTTGGAGTGTCAGTTTCATATTTTCCCACCCCCTGTGCCTCGGTCACCTAGCTCTCATGCCTGAGGAGGACGCCTTCCACCCGCATCCGACCTGAGGCTGCGTGGCAGAGCCGGGGTGCCCACTGTGCGGCAGGGGCTTGTTTCCCAACCCTGCAAACCGCTCTAGTCCCTGACTCTCCGTTTGTGCCCCCTGAGCTTTCCCCTCCATTTCCATCCCATACCCAAAGCCTGGCCCCTTCTCCCAGCGGAATCTGGTCAGAGTCCATGGGCTGCAGACTTCCAAAACAATCGTATCTTTATTGACTTTTTTTCTGAATGCAATGACTGTTTTTTACTCTTAAGGAAAATAAACATCTTTTAGAAACAGCTCGATACACACAATCTTCAGTGTGAAGCAATATACTAATAAGAACACTAGTCTTAACATTTACAGTCTTCATATATATTATATATATGTATATGTATACATATATATACACTATATAACGAAGCCAGATATAATACACACGTTTACCATTTTACAGTCATATGTACAGAAAGTTGCTAGGGTGCCCCGGTCTGGGGCTGCCTCAGGCCTATCGAAGCATGGACAGAACTGAGGGCAAAGACAGGCTGGCAGAGGGACTGGCCTGGGCTGGTGGTGGCTGTGTGGGAAGGGGTGTCCTGGCTGTGGCCCCCTTCCCAGCAAGGGCCTGGTGCTGAAGAGTGCACAACGCACGGCAGCGACACACGGCAGAAGCGAGCATGTTCCCAACATATATACATTCTATGCAACATATATATAGAGGGGTACACAGGTTTGTACACAAATCTGGTGTTGCCTCTGCTCCTGAGCCAAGTGGGGGCTGCAGTCTCTGGAGATGAAGGTCCTGCAGAGGCAGTCTGCTGGAGCTGTGCTCTGGTCCAGACTCTGGCGCTCCCTGGCTGGCTCCACGGTTGGGGCAGAGGATTGGAAACGGGAAGAACAGAAGCAAAAGGGGTGCCCCGAGTCCAGCCTGTAGTACCCAGGGATCCTGCATCCCCTGAGCCTGTCCCCAGACTCCCCTGGCTCTGCCCAAACTGCATGAAGGTTCTGAATGGTTTGTTCCAGCGCTGTGAATTTGTTCCGAAGCCTCCGGCCCACTCCCCTGTTGGCCTTGCACTCTCTAGAAAGGCTTCAGCTCCAGCTCTCCCCATCCTCCTTCCTCCTTCTAGGAGCCACCCTCTGCCACTTCCAGGGCCCTTTGGACCCCCACCCCCAGAGTGCCCAGCTATGTCACAACCGGACTGGGTTGGTGGCAGCACCCACATGTAATGTGTGCCATGCTGATTTGGAACTTCCAGTGGAGCAGCGTGACCCCAAGCTAAAGGCGTCCCCCGCCCCTGGAGCCTGGGTACCCCAAGGAGTCTGGCTGATCTGTGCGCTTCCCCCTTCCAAACCTGGCCCAGAAGTGTCAACAGAAAAGCCATGTTGTCCAGTTCCAGGAGCAGGTGGCTCCATAACGTGTGTTCTTTCCAACCAGGGACCAAGCGGTTCAGCCCTAGGCAGCCAGTCCAAGATCCGGGTCTGGATCCTGGACCGGCTCAGGGAGCAGCTCAAAGGCCTGTACAGACGACCCCTCTCCTTCAGCGGAAGGGCGAGCGGCTCCGGTGGTTTCCCCCGCGGCCGGGGTGTGTTACAATGGAAGCCTCTGCAGGAGAAGAGTACACACCCGAGCGCTGCATTAGGCGCGGCTGGGCGTCGGCAAGGGTCCATCCCTGTGGCCGCACCCACCCCAGCACTGGAGCACACCACTGGGCGGGGCGGGGCAGGGCGCGGGGGGGGGGGGGGGGCGGTCTCTGCCGGAGGCTGCTGGCCCTGCGCCAAGCCTCTTAACGCACCAAGCCCGTGTCTCCGGCATGTCCTCCTATTTCTGCTGCCTGGGACGGCCCCTCCCGCAGGGCCTGCCAGGTTTCTAAAGCGGTCTCTGGGTCCCACGAGTGCCGAGTGTCGACTAGCCCGTTGCGGCCCCGCCCCACTCGCCAGCCCGCTGAGGGCAAGGCTGGGAAGACCAGCGGCCCACGGTGAGCAGGTCCCTCTCCAGCCTAGACCCCTTCCAGGGGAGGCCTGTGGTCACCTACCTTATGCTGGGGGCATTTCAAAGAAAAGTTATCTTCGGTGAATATGCAACCTGTGACCGAAGAGAAGTTGGTGCGGTTAGGGCGCTGAGGATGTCTAGTCAGGGGCCGGGAGAGGGCCCTGCGCCCCGGAAGCTCTGTGCCTAGCACTGGTCAGACCCTCGTAGGTGCCACCATCCCTCCGCCTGCCCCTGCACCGCTGCCTGGCTGGCCTGGTCTGTGGCACTCTCACCTACCTGCTCACCTCCAGCTTCCCGATCGGGAGGCCTTCCCACACTCCCTGCTGTGGCAGAGACCACAGTCCCGGGCTTCCCTTGCTGTCTTGGGCCTGGCCGCACTGGGAGTTGCCTGAGAGAAAGCTCCCTGCGGATGTCTTGCTCAGGGTCTCTGTCTCTCTGGAAGGCCAGCTCTGGACACCAGCTCTGGCTTCACCCTGGGTGAGAGGCCAGCCCTGAAGGAGGCTTTGCCGCCCAGTAGGGCTCACTGAACAAATGTTCAGGGACTGGGTAGTGCAGTCACGGGTTTGGATTCAAGCACCAGCTACTTCTCTGAGCCTTGGTCTCCACTTCTGTCACATAGGCACTCTGCCGCCTACTGTGTGTCCATGGTGGGCACTGATGAGGAGAGTGTCTGTAAACCATCGCACCTGTGAGGCGGGGAGGGGAGGCACCCTGAGTGTGGGGCGGGGCTAGGGAAGTGGAGGGAAATATCAGGTCCAAGCAAATGCCTCCAGGTGTCTGAGGGCCCAGGGCACTGCCCACCCTGGGGAAACAAGAAGGTTGTCTGAGCATAGCCTGTTCTTGGTGCCCACCTCAGGCCAGGGGTGTACTGATGTCTCAGTGAGTCCCCACTTCCCTGTCTGCTGCACTTAAGGAAACCCTTGCTTTTTCCCCTGGAACCCCCACCTACCACCCCCTGGGGAGCCTAGTCCTGGGTCCACTCCCTTCCCTCCCAAGCCTCTTCTGACATGGTTCAGAACAAACCCTAAAGCCACAAATAGCCAGAGGCCCAAGCTTGCCAAAGAGAGCTCTCTTGCCCACGCTGAGGCCAGCTGTGGTGGCTAGTGGGCAGGGCCGGGAGGCAGCAGGGGCAAATCTGCAGCCTTGAGAGCTGGGCTGGAGGGCTCTAGGCCTCTCTGAGGGGTCTCCTTTTTCTCCACCCACCCCCGCCAGAAGCTGGGGGCTTCAGTCCTGAAACTGCCCATGAGTTTCTGCACTTCAGGGCCAGCAACTGGAAGTGGGTCATCAGTTTTTCCCCTTCCCTGAGCTCAGGCAAGCCACAGTTCTGGGACTGAATTTGCACTTCCCAAAGAGCACTGGGCTACAATCCCAGGCTCGCTCACAGCACACAGAGGACACCTCCCTCAGCACACACCCCCATAGACCACCCTGCTGCAGGCCCGACAATCATGGGCTTAAGTCGACAGAAGTAAAGGGTAGGAGGTTACCCTTCCAAAACCAGTTTGCTCAGTGAATCTCCCGGACCCACACAAGGTGTGGGGAGGGGACCCCCTGGGAAGAGCCGAATCATCAGTTCCTGGCCCCTCTCTTGGTGTCTGTGCTAGGGAGACCTGGGACCCAGCTAACAAGGTGGCCCTGGGCCCTGAGTGAGGAAAGGAAGCTGTAGTGTGTGCCTGTCCCTGCCAGCCCTTTGGGACATCACTGCTTAGCTTCAACGTGGCACTCTTTAATGAGGTGGAACAGGGGCAGGGGCAGTGGGACAGGACAGGAGGAAAGGGAGAGAGCAGACAGCCCGGAGCCTGTGGTCTGAGAGCTGACCCAGATGCTCCAGAGAGCCCATCTGGCAGACCTGGGGGTGGAGTAGGTAGATGGTGCCGACCGAGGCCTGGGACTCGCACTGCCCAGCCTGTTCCCTCAGTTCCCTCCCACTCCCAGCCCCTCCTGCCTGACCAGGGCTGCCCCTGCCAGCCCTCCCTGCTGCCGGAAACCCCGTCTTCCCTCCCCTTCCCGCTGGCTGCCGGGCTCCCTTGTTCTCCCACCTTCTCTGACTACTGTTTCTCCAGTGCCCAGGGCTCCACCCCACCTCCTCTGCCAACTATTAAATGGTGGTGCCCAATCCCCCCACACTGTCCCCTTGGGGTCTTTGATGACCCCTTGGGCTGAGGGCCATTTGTCTCTGCCCTGAGCCTGGCAGGACAGCTTCCCTGGTGTGTCTGCCGCTACCGCCTCCAGTGCAACCTGCCTGCAGGGAGGCCTCTGTGTGTGGTGGACGGACGGACTGCGGAGCAGCCCCAAGCCTCTGCCTGTGCCCCCATCCTTTGCAGTGTGTCTCTGCCACTCATGTCATCCAGCAGGTGTGCATTCGCCACCTCATGGATCGGGGCTGGACGCGGGCCTTGCTTTGGCCAGTAGGACAACAGCGAGAGGGTCCGTGCAGTCCCACCCAGAGGCCTGCTGGAGGATGAGAGACCACAGGGAGCGGGCAGGAACTGGACCGGCTGGGCCATGAGATGGTGCTGCCTCCGCTGACCCACAGCTGACCACGGCCATCTGGGTGAGCTCCACAGATGGTGTGCCTGTGGACTCGTGCCCTTCTGAGAAATACAGAAGGGTGGGTGTTTAGCCATGAAGTTGGGCCTGGGGGCCAGCAGCTTGGCAACAGTAGTGAACACACTATTGGCACCCCACCTCAGACCTGTTCTTGCGGGGTGGGGTGGGCTCGAGGCCGCCACTCCCTCATCCCTCCCACCGCAGCTGTGCGTTCTCTGCCCAGCCCACGAGGCTCTGGGATGCAGGTTCTCCCCAGCCTGGCCACCTTCCTCTCTAGCTCAGATGCCTGCAGCGTCCACCAGTTCTCGCTCAAACACAGCTCTGGTCACACCAGTGTCTCATTTTCCCAGCCTGCGGGTTCCCTTTGCGCCGCAGTCCCCGTGCTCTGCAGAGACGCCTCTCACTGAACTCCTTGGAAGACATCATTTGAAAGAAATTTCTGTGTCTCCAAGCCTAGTATATGCATCCCACCACTAACCAGCTGCTGCCTGCCTCCCCTGACCTTTCCAAGTACGGCTCAAATACTGCCTCCTCTTGAAAGTCCTCCTGGATTCCCTCCCAGCTCAGACAGAACAAATCTTTCCCACAGCACACGCCCTCTCCTCCTGTCTGGCCTCCATAATTTTGGGCAAGGATCATGGTTTTCCTGTCTGTTCCACTCAAAATGTGAGCCTCTCAAGGGGCTGGACAGCACTGGGTGGCGGACAGAACACAGGATGTGGAGCAAGGCAGACAGGGAGTCACACCCTTGTTCTGCTGGTGCCGCGCTCAGTGGCCACGGGCAAGGCAGTGTGTCCGTAACAACACAGGGGAGAGGGAGGTGCAGAGGCCTGACTCGGGCCTGGCATGGAGTGGGTGTGACGTGGGTCACTATCAAAGGGATGCGGCTTGTGCAGCCATTACTGTCAGTGAGGTCATGTGTCTGGTTGAGTGGCAGAGTCCACATTAAAGTCTGACTCGCACTGCTCTGCTTGGAGGGGAGGGCTGCAGCCGCTGACACCCCTGCCCCACGTCCCTGCCCCAGCGAGCTTCCTTCCTCAGGCTGTGAGCACCTCAGCCCTTGCCAAAGAAAGGCTGCCACTCCATGCATGGCCTGGCAGGCTCGGAGCCGCCTCTGCCTAGAACAAAGCCTGCGTTCAGGTGGGGAGGATGGCAGCTGGTCCCCAGGAGGTGGGAAGGTGTTCCATGAGGGAGGGTCACAATAACCTCCCCCTCTTCCAGGCCAGAGAAGAGGGGGTAAGGGGCACAGGGAGGTGGGGACAGAGGTCATGCAGCTGCCCCCAAAACAGGACTGAGGCTGCCCTTGCTAGGCAGTATTCGTGATCTCACTCGCTGTTCCCAACAGCTCGGGAAGAAGAGATTATTGTAACCACCATTTGATAGACGGGGAAACCGAGCACAGAGACCTCAACGAACTTGCCAAGTCCACATGTCAGGAATACCACCAGGGTTTTAATCCAGGCCAAAGCGGCCTTAGGCCCCCTTAAATACTACCCTCATTGGTGACTAAAACTCCATCATAAAAGTGGCTTTCCTTACATGAAACAAGGTGTGTCTTTGAGCCTTGGTTGAAGCCTTTGACAACTACGAAGCCTTCTCAGACTGCCCTTGCAATCTGTGCCTCTGGGCGCTCCTCAGACCAGTGGCTGGGGACAGACCATCTTGTCCCTAGCACTGTCCAGCGCAGGTTCTGGTCAGGGAAAGGTTGCTGGGGCAGGAGAGGAGGGAAACTGAGGATTCCTGCGGGGCTGGGTCCCAGCAGCTGTGTCCAGGGTCCCCTGTCCCCCAAGGCTGGCTCTTACCTGCGTCACTGGCACACGGGTAATGGTAGGTGTGGACGCAGCCTTTGTGGGAGCACCCGATGGTGGCCCCGGTTTCCTGGCAGCTGGAACAAGTCTGGCGAGGAAAGAGGAAAGACAGGTGAGACTGCCACTACGGGGCTGGGCAGGTGGGCTTTCCAGAGGCACCACACGGTCCCTGCCCCCTTCCCACACAACGGTCCCTGAAAATCGGCCAGGAGGCTCAGCATGGGGTGTACATGCCCATGGGGTTGATTCTGTGGCGACCCCTGAGCTGTTGCCTTGGTGCAGGGCCCTTTGGGCAAGGGGGGAAGGACTCTTTGTGGATGAACCTGTGGCCTTGGCCTCCCGCAGACCTGGGCTGGAGTCCTGGCTCTGCCATGTGGCCCTGCGAGACCTCAGCCAGCCGCTCAGACTCTCTGCGCCTCAGCCGCCCAGTGAGAGTGTCCCCCTCAGGGTGGCCGCGAATATTAAATGAGCAGTCGTGTGCCCAGCAGATGACAAGAACTGCTGGTGCCGGCCACCCCAACGGCCATGGCTACCCGCTGGCGCTGGCAGGGCTTCTGCATGCAGAATGTAGAGGGTGTGTCCTCGCCCATGGACGCCACCAGGCGGCACTTGCAGCAGGTAACTTCATGAACCCACTTTACAGTGGAACTGAGACCTCCACTTCAGGCAGGAGTGAGGGTACGAAGCATTGTTTCCTGCCCTTCCTGGCAGCAGAACAAGCGCCGAACTTGGAACAGATGGAATACCCTCAGATGAGCCATTCCCCCTTCCCAGGACCTGGGGGGAGATGACACAGCCAACCCACAGATGTGGGTCAATATGAACCTTATGCTGTCCAGCACAGTGACCGGCTCCCTCTGGGTTTTAAAAATGTGTCTGCTGAGCTTGGGACCCACCCCACGCCTGCCCAAGCCACCTGGAGGGAGAAGTGGCCAGGACGGGCAGAGGCTAGGAAGGCCACTGAGTGGGAAACAAAACCTGGGCTCTGGGAAGGGACAGGTTGGGCCCCAAGTCCTGCAGACCACTGCCTGTAGGGTGGGGGAGCGCCGCCCAAGAGGAAGCAGGGAAGGTGGCAGGCCCGGGCCCAGATGCTGAGCCCCTGGAATGAATACCTAAGAGCTCAGGGTGTGGCAGTTGTTTGGGAGCTGCCTCCTCATGGCTACCTTCTGCCAATAGCATTGCTGTTCTTTTAGCTGGTTACCAACAAGAGCACATAGAAGCTGAGGGACTTGCCAGCAGCTAGGCTGGAGCGAGGGCTGGAACACACTGTCCCCAGCTGCCTGGGGTGGGGTGGGCTCCATTTCAGGTCCCAGGACTGAGGGAGGCCCCACCCCAGCAGCTGGGAGACAAGCAGGGATGGGAGGAAGTCTCCTGCCACCCTTCACAGGCCCAGCCCCTGGAACGCCTGGGGATGTTCCCTCTGTACCGAGCCGAGAGCAGGAGAGGTCAGGGTAGGAGGCTGAGGTACATTTAGGAACACCAGCTTTTCACACGGTGCCTCTGAACAGGCAGTTTCCTTCTGATCAGGGCTGAAACACTCTGGGGCCCAGTGCTTCCCCCAATTCCTATCCCGAACAGGGGCGAGGGAGTGGGAGCGGGACCACAGATGAGGCCCATGTGCAGCCCACAAGCAGCCCTCAGGTGTCTGAGACCTGCACTGAGGCCTCCCAACAAGCCTCGTGGAACGTTTTAAATGTGGAGAAACAGACGGACAGACGGACAGAAGCTCTGGGGCCTTCTGACCTCAGCACCTGCACTGAGAGGGGCTGTGGCCCTTGGACCTGCTGAAGGGGCCCAGGCTGGCAGAGGGGCCCAAATGGGGCCTCCTGACACCAGCCAGCACCCAGCTCCTCAGCATCCAGGGCCTGGCCTCACCGGAGGGAGATGGGCCCACGGGAGCTCTGGGTGAGGTCTAGACTCTGGGCAGACTAGGAGACTGAGGTCCCAGGGGTGGGCGTGACAAGGCTCAGGGACAGATTGTGTGTGGGGTTCCCAGGAGGGGATGCAGAAGAAGGGTGTCCCTGGGGACCCCAGCTCTGTTACTCTGGAGAGCAGAAGGCGAGCGTTGGCACACCTGGTGGGGTGGCGGCTAGGGCTTCAGCTGCCCTTGGGGAGGGCAGACCACCACGTGGACCCGCAGCCCAGCCCAGAGTGAGCATGGGGGCTAGTCAGGGGATGGGGATAGGGTGGGGGAGGGGTGTGGCAAAGGAGCTGGTAGGTGGGCTGTGGGGCCAGGCAGTGCCACCCAGTGTGAGTACGGCACCCTACTGGACCACGGCTGAGTGTGTGTGGGAGGAGGAGAAGCACGAGCCTCAGGGAGAGAACACTCTGACTCCCACTGCCCTGTCCCAGGTGCCTCCTGCTGACTGCTGCCAGGCCTCTGTCTGAGTGCCCCTGCACCCCTAGGAGGGGCATGTGAGGAGTGAGAGCCCCGTGGTAACCCCAGTGGGAGGGACACCGTGGGTGGTGATGATGTGGCTCCTGCTATGGTCACTAGATCTAGCCCAGCAATGTCAACAGCACTCAGACGGGCCCAGCATGGCCTTTAACTCAACCCTCAGGGCCCCTCCGAGCTGGGAACTGATATGGAGAAAAGGGAGTGCAGAGAGGCCGCGTCCCTGACCAGAGCCGAGCAGTGAGGGAGGGCGGCGCTGGGCTCCAGACCCAGGCTGCATTCCTGCTCGCAGACCTCGGCACCTGAAGGCCCTCGAGCAGCGTCTCGGGACTGTTGACGAGCGGTCCCAGGGCCACCCTGCGTGAGGGGAGCTGTGTGGCCCAGGGGCCATCCAGCAGAGGGGACACGGTCTGACCTCCTGTTGTCTGAGGGGCTTGTCCCCTCAGTCCCCAGCTCCATCTCACAGGCACTCAAGCTGGGGCAGCCTCCTGTGGTGGGCCACCCTGACGTTCCGTTCTGTGAAGTCTGTCCACCTGTGGGATCCCAGCCTCTTGGCTGGTTACCTGAGGTGGGGAGACTGGGGGGCTCTGGAGCTGGAAGGGGCCAGCGGAGCATGCGGTGAGGCTGGGAAGGCATCAAGGGGCTGAGATGGGAAGTATGGGATGGACCTGGGTGAGTCTTGCCTCAGCCTGGGCTGTACTGCCAGTGCCCCAAGCCCCTCAGATGCAGATTCCTCACTGTGGGCCTGTTTGGCTCAAATCAAAGTGCTGGGGCGGCAGGGCCTCCCTGGCTGTCTGCCTGCCTGGCCTGTGAAGCTTGAACTCCCCGCCCCCCTGAGCTGGCCTCTTACCATGTCCAAGGCCACCTTCATGGCCTCCTGCAGCCCAAAGAGCTTCCCGGCCACCAGGTAGACCCCGCCCGTCCACACGGCGCAGGCCTCATGCACCCAGTGCTCCTGGGTGTCCCCACCAGGTTCTGCTGTTGCCTCCTTGTTGCACTCATGCTTGCGGGTCTTGTCTGCAGCTGCGACCACCTCCTCACTGACGTCCCCTCGACCATCACAGCAGTAGCAACTCTGCAGCCGCCGGGATAGGCCCCGGGCACTGGTGCGTAGTGAGCCCTGCTTGGCCAGGTCAGCTGAGCTGTCAGGCCGAGGGGCCTTTCCGGTGGCGGTGGCGGCAGCAGCAGCTGCGCACTCAAGACCCTTGAGTGTTCTCTCGAGGGGCAGTGAGTCCTCCTCGCAGGTGCTTTCGGGCCGCACCTTCTCCTTGAGTTTTGGCTTCTTTTTGGGGAGGCAGTGTTCAGGGTAGTAGGGCCCGCAGAGGTCCCCGAGGTCCTTGAAGTTGGCCGGGTTTTGGCAGAGGCAGCAAACAAGGCAAGAGGTACTCAGGGCCTTGGAAACCACGGGCCCCAGGTGCATGGTGGAGGAGAGGGGCAGAGAGGACCGAGGCTGCAAGACAGAAGAGCCTCCAGGAAGCGTGGCCAGAGAGGCCCCAGCTGTGTCCAGGGAGGAGGAGGACGAGGAAGAAGAGGCAGAAGAGGAAGGTTTTCTGTGGGGCTTGGGCTCCTCCCCAGGAGAGTTGACAACAGTGCATACAGTGGTGAATGCGTCTCGCTTCTCGACCCGCACAAAGGGCGAGAAGGCTGGGGTGCGGCTGTCTGCCCGCAGCCGCTTGCATGAGGAAATGTACTTCAGGCGGATTTCAGGCTCTGCAGGATCCAGGGGCAGCACCTGCTGCTGCCGCTGCCGCTTGGCGCGCCCCTTGCAGGGTGAGGAGGTGGCATTCTTGGCTCGGCCCCGTGAGAGGCGCTTCCGCTTGGAATAGCTGCTGTAGTTGGTGTGGCCTGGCTGCTTCTGTGCCCTCATCTGGGGCTGGCAGGACCGGCTGTCGGGGGGCTGGGGGGCCAAGCCCAGCCCCTCCATCTTTGGCTTCTTGCTTCCCCCACCAGAGCTGTCCTCACTGGCCCCCTGCATGCTGTTGGTCCTGTCTCGGGGAGTCAAGAGCAGAACAGGGCCTAGATGGGGCTGTTTCTCCGGGGGGCCTTTGGGGAGTCCCAGGGCTGCAGCCCTGCCTTTCCGGCTTTTCTTCTTCGGCACCAGGACAGTTCCCCCAGGCAGCAGGGTCTCTGGGGACACCAAGTCCTCAGTTTTAAAATAGTCAGTCGAGGATAATTTCTTACTGTTTATGAGTTTGCCTTTTAAGGATCTGTTGGCCGTATTTCTGCAAAATGGGTCGGTCCCCGAAGCTGCTGGGAGCTTCTGGCCGGCGGCCATGCTTGAGAGACCTTCTGCCCCCACAGGGCTGCCCCTGGTGCTCTTGGGCCCTCGGTCCTTCTCAGAGAGGGGCGGGCTCAGAGAGTGCCCAGGAGTGGTCCCAGGCATTTTGCACACAAACTTTTTCAGGCTGGGTGAGGTGATCTTCTGCACAATGGCCTCCAGCTTCAGGCCCCGGCCCTTCCGGGGTGGCAGCACCTTGGTCTTCGTCGCTCCCTGACAGGCCACCCGTGAAGCCATCTTGAGACAGGCGTCAGGTGTCTCTGGGGGCGGGGGCTTCAAGGTGGGCTCGCTATTGCCTTTGGTGGGCTTGGCTTTCTTTGGAGAAGACATCCTCTTGAAGAGGGCTGGGGAGCCCTCAGCTCGCTCCTCCTTCACGTCCCCGCGGCTGCCACTGGCACTGCTGCTGCCGCTCCGTAAGACCAGGTTCCGCTTCTTGGAGGGGACTGGTGCCATGAAGGCTGACTTCCTTTTGAGTGCGTGGAGGGGCCTATCAGAGAGCTTGCCGCCTGCGCTGGGCTTGGGGACCCTCACCCACTGACCAGCCCTGCCCTCCTTCTGGACGTTGCCAGAGACCTTTAACGTAGCAGGCAGGTGGTTGTTGGCAAGGAGCTTCTTGGCAGCCCGGCAGTTGGGGATCCGGCTTTCCGAGGGTCGCCGCCGCTTGCAGTGGAAGACCTCCTGGGTTCTGGTACGGGACCGAAGGATCATGGAGCGCTGGTCTCTGCCAGGGGGGCTGGGAGAGTCTGTCTCCTTGGTCTTGGAGCCCATGGGGCTGCTGTCAGAGGCCACCGGCAGGGCAGCCGGGTTGCTGGGGCTGGACGCCGCCTTGGGGGAGGGCTTCCCTGCACGCTTGCCAGACTTGAAGGCGGCTCGCTGCCTGCCCCCCAGCTTGTCCGGAGGGGCAGGGGTGGTTGTCAGTCCAGGAGGGCCAGGCGTGCGGGGCTCACTCAGGGCTGTGAAGGAACGGGTACACATCCTGGGGAGCCCTTCCGAGGCCCCCCGGCCTGGGGCCCCGGCCCCTTCCATCTGTCCCTGGGGGGGCCCTGTGCAGGATTCAGGCAGCAGGAGGTCTTTGGGCAGAACCGGCGCCCTGCACGGGGAGTCCTCGGCCTCAGGAAGCCCCCGATGCACCCGCCTGCTCCGTAAGCTTTTGCCCCGTGGCACGGGCTCTTTCTTAGCAATGGGTGCCTCAGGAACGGCGGGCTTGTTGGGCTTCTGGGCCAAGGAGGCCTCCGGGGCCAGGGTGGCAGGATCCCCCAGAGCCAGTGCCCCACTGGGCCCTTCTTCCCCGGGCTTCATGTGGGACAAGGAGGACTCAAACCAGCTCTGGACCTTCGACTCGGCACCCACAGTGGGGCCCAGCAAGATGACAGACTCTCCAGAGAGGTGGCATGGGGAGCCCCAGCCAGTTTTGGGGTCCAGAGCCTCCTCTACCTCCTCCTTGGTACACATCAGCGGGGCCTTTGGGGACAGCGGGTCCCGAAGGCTGGGCCTCTGGTTGGGGCTGCCCAGGAGCTCGCACAGGGAGGAGTACTCCTCCTCCGCCTCCAGGTCCTCCTTCCTGCCGGTGGGCGGCAGCAGCGGCAGGTCCCCAAAGTCCGCAGCCGAGCAGCAGTGCCTGCCATCCTCCAGCCACACCTCGGCCTTACCCACCTCAGGGCACTGCAGCAGCCCACCTGCCTCCTCCTTCACCCCACCCGCCTCCTCCTGCTGGGCATCCTGGGGTAGGGTGGCCGGCTCCCCAGGGGGCTCCTCCTCCCGGAAACCCAGGCAGGGTGAGGCCTTGTGGGCATCTTCCTTGCCGATGCTGTCTGAGGCCTTCGAACCCTGCTCCAGACCCTTGGTAAGCTCGCTGGGGTGCAGCCCCCACCGGGGACAAGCGTCGCCCAGGTTCTCCTCTGGCCAGGCAAAGGGGGTGGCGCTGTCTGCCGAGCTGGCAGTGGCTGTGTCTGGGAAGCAGTCAAAAGCGGCTGTGGTGGGGTCTGAGGTAGCAGCCCCAAGGGTGGGCCGCTCACCAAAGGAGAGGGGACCAGTGGTCTTCTTGGGGTCTGGGGTGACAAAACCCACAGAGGGGTCTTCAAACAGCCCCGGGCTAAAGTCCTTGGTGTTGCTGCCCTTGTCCAGCTGTAAGGGCTCAGGCAGGGCCTCAGGTTCCCCTGGCCGTGGCCAAGAATTCTTGGCTATGGAGTCCAGGCAGGTGCTATGGTTCTCCAGTGTGAAGGGCGGCTTGGTGGCATCCTTGGAGAGGCCAGAGACCTCGGCCCAAGACTTGTCGGCCTTCTCGCCAATGGCCTCCTGCAGGCCCAGGATCTCGGAGGCCAGGTCCTCTTGCGCCAGGGCGCTGAGCAGCAGCCTCGGGCAGTCCTGCTCATTGGACACAAACTTGGAGAAGTTGTCGAGCGGCAAGCTGCTGTGAAGGCTCTGGAAGGAGTCATCAGACTTGGTGGACATGTCATCGGGGGAGGTCACGGAACAGGTGGACACGGACTCGGGCTTGGCTTTTGAGCTGCTGCTGGCCCTGGCGGGGCTGCCTCGGGCCTGGGTGCAGTAGAGGAAGCCGCGCTCCAGAGGGTCCTCAGAGCCGCTCAGGTAGTCAGCCTCGGGTGGCTCGGCATGGCTGGACTGTGGCGTGCCGCTTGGTGGCTCTGACAGCGGTGTACCCGCCTGCTCGGCGGAGTAGCCGCTGCCATCGGGGCTGCAGTGCTGGCTTTTGTGCTGTTCCGGTGTCCTGGACACCAGGGTCTTCACACTCTTCTTCTGGGGCATGGCGGCCTTGGAAAGCAGCAGCTGCTGGACCGTGTTGGAGATGTTCTCCACCTGTGAGGTCAGCGCGGTGAGGCTCTGCAGGCTGAGGTCTGACAGCAGGCTCTCGGGGAGCTTGTCCTTCTGCAGTGGCTTGCAGTTGCTGGCCTGTGTGTCCACAGAGCTGGCGGCGTCTGTTGGGGAGGGGTTAAGCAGGGGCATGAAGTGGCTGTGGTCTGTGATGCCTGCGGGGAAGGCTCCTGTGCTGAGTGGCTGCTGGCTGTAGGGAAAGTTCTCCAGGTTCGGCATCAGTGGTGACGGGGTGGAGCTGTAGGAAGGAGAGCGGCCCAGGGAGCGCGCGGGCGAGTGGCTGGAGCTGGGGCTGAAGGTCTGGTAGTACTGCTCTGGAGTCCTGACGGCCGCGTCTGGCTGGCAGTAACCTGGGCCTTGCGGGCCGTAGTGTTGGTACTTGGCCAGGTTTTGGTAGTGGAGGGTTTCCTGGGCGTGGTGTCGGCTCTGAAGGGTTTGCTGCTGCTGCTTCTGCTGGTTGTAGCTGAGGCGGCCAGACTGGTAGGCATGAAGGTTCTGGACTCCTTGCCCTGAGGCCAGGCTGGTGCTGGCAGCCAGTGGCCTGTCGTGGGGCTGTGCAGATGGCGCTGTACAACTCTTGTAGGAGTGGGCCCCCTGCCCGCCACCCTGGCCGGTGGAGGAATAGGTGGAGGAGGTGGGGAAGGACTGCGACTGCTGGGGAAAGGGGCTGCCCTGGGGAAAGGGCAGGGACGAGGCGATGTCATTCTGCAGCTTCTGTCTCTGGAGCTTGGGGTAGGCTAGGGGCTGCGGGGGCGCTGGTGGCTGGGGCTGGGTGTGCAGGGGGTGAGTCCGAAAGGGCAACTGGGCACCCTGCTCTGGGTACTGCCTGCCCGGGGGCACCGCTGTCTTCTTCATCAAGTTCTCATCATATTTGCCCACCCCCCCTGGCAGGGTCTGTGGCTGGGGTGGTGGTGGCTGGGGGGTCCCCCAGGCCTGCAGGCTTTCCTCTCCTGCGTAGCGGCCTGGGTAAGGGCTGCTGTCCTGGACGCCGTAGCTGGAGAACGCCGGCCTCCCCGGCAGGACTTGCTGTGAGGGCAGGCCTTTGCCACCGCGGGCAGTGCCGGCAGCTGTGCCTGTGCCACCCTCGTAGCCCGGGTATGGCTGCGGGCTGTAATAGTCCTTGGCAAGCAGCCGCTGCCGGTCACAACTCAGCCCGGCCTGGCTCGGCTGCCTGTAATTCTCCAGGCGAGATGTCTCCTGTGAGGTCTGCTGGTAGTTCTGTTGTTTGCCATGGAAACCACACCTTTCTCGAAAAGACTGCATGACTTAGGCTGGTTATCTGTGAAAAGAAAAGGGAGGTGGGGTGGGCGGGGGGGAAGATGGGAAGGGGTCAGAGGGACAGCAGCTCAGATGGGCCATTTCCTTTCACCTCGGCAAACCTGCCTGCCACCCCTCACCCAGCCCTGCCCTCCCCCACAGCTCTTCCCAGCGCCCCCTGTGCCTGAGCCTACCCTACAGCTGTGCACATACTGACAGCCTGTTGCAGGGATGTGTGCTGGCAGTCCCCACCGACCCCACCTGCAGCCAAGCCTCACAGGGGGTGGCTGCCCTCTGAACAGGGGTGGGAGGGAGATGCGCACCAGGCTGCCCACCTCTCCAGGTCGCCTGGGAGATGCCGCCCCACCCTCCCCAGCCAGCTCCCCGCTCTGCCCCATGCCACCCCTCCCAGCCATTTAGCAGAACGATTCCCGACACCCTGTTCCCTGGGGCTGCTGGATCCTGTAATCTAGTCCCAGCTTGGCAGTGTTCAAGCACGATCCAGCCAAGCCAGGGGCCCAGAAGCTCTGCCCCTGGCCTGGAGAAGCTGCTCCCAAGGCCTGCCTCGCACTCCCGTGTGCGCACACCTCTTCTGTCACTGTCAGGCCATCTGGAGCCTGTCTGCGTCTTCCAGCAGACCTCGGCCGGGGGCCTCTGAGCCACTGTAGGCATTAAATAGCCCCTTCTCTGACTCCCAGGAATGCAGGACAGCAGCAGGCTTCCTATGTTTGATACCATAGGTGTGTAGACCCTCCTCGGGTGTGTAAACAGGTTACGTGGCCCAGGGTGAGGGAGTACATGCTTACTGGGGACAGAACCACAGCTCCTCCATGTGTGAAGTAGCCCAGCCCTGCTAGCAGGCTGGGTTGGCCTCTACAGGGTCAGGGCCAGGTCACACCAGGCCCAGGGCCCATCTGTTTATGATTTTAGGGCTGGGGCCCCAGTGAGACCTGAAGCAGGACTTGAGGTTAGGAAATGACCTTGGGGGTGAGGGCCCTTCAAGGCAGAACAACCCATTTCACAAAAATGGCCAGTCTTCTGCGTGCAGGCTATAGGTTCCCTCAACTGGCTGGGGGCCTGGTTGCCCCAGAAGACCCTCCTCGGAGGGAGGAGCAAGGGCACTCCTGCATGGGCAGTGCCAGGGGGCTCAGGATTTACCCACAGCCAGGGTTGGGGTTGGAGTGGGGGAAGGGGGACAGGAAGACCATGACTCAGCTAGGCCTGCCCATCCCAGGGCCCCAGGAGAGCACAGGGGACTTCCCAGCTCCCATTTCCAGCACGGAAAGAGGAAGGGGCAGCCTGCCTCGGGCCGCAAGATTCCAGGGTTATAGGAGAGGCCAGAATGAACTGGGAAGGGGAAAGAGAGAGCAATTGGAGCGGGCGGGGCGGGGGGGCCTGCCCCCAAAAGGCCCAGCTCAATCACCCCTCCTTGTCACAGGAGTCCTACCTAGCAGCTTTCTCATTCAGTGTTGAGGACTGACCGGGAGGGGAACAGAGGAGGGACTCCAGCTGGCTGAGCAAGGCAGGTCCTGGGCAGCCAGATGCCCCCAGAAACCCCGCTGCACTGGCCCTTGGCAGGCAGCCGGCCCTGATGCAGGGGCAGAGGCAGTGCTCTGCCCAGAGGGGACCAGTCTCCCACAGGGCAAGCTCCTGCCCACAGGCGGCAAAGCCCACTTCCCCCTGCCTCTCCCCAGACTCATTTCAGGCACACCCAACACTGAGAACCATGCCTGCCCTTCTGACCCACTTCAATCCCATCTCTGGACGCTAGGATAAAACACTTTGGGAGGGGCCTGCTACCACACACCCAGCCCAGGGGAGGTGGGGCAGCCTTCGGTTCTGGCCTGGAGGCCCCCTGCCAGGTGGACAGCCCCATGCCTCCTGACCTGCCCCTGGCAGAGAAGGGTGCCTCCCCACTTGGCCCACATATGGGCCAGCAGGTGGAAGCCACCTCTGCACCAGGCAGAGGCACCACCAGAAGAGCTCTGCCCTCCCCCACCTCCCATGTTCTGTTTATGAGCCCAGAATTCGCAAACCCAGGCCTGCTCTGAAGGCTGTGCCTTGTATATCTGCACAAATTATATTTCAGCTTTTATTAGTCCCAGATCGCTCTCATTTCCTGCTGAGTGTCCTGTGGATATCATTAACATTTCTACAGCTTTTATTCTTTTCACATTCTCCAAAATGCACCACCCAGAAACGATATTTAAAAAGAAAAGTGCTATGACCAGTGTCCCACCCCTCCCCCAGCTTTAATCGGTCCAGCTGCTGCATCTTTTAATTTCGTCGAGCTGTACTGCAGGCGGGTTTCCCAATGCACACGAGCAGCTGGATGTGGTGAAAGCATCTATCTCTAAGAAAAGACAGTTCAATTAAAATACTAAAAGCTCAGTGCCTGGTGGAGAATGCAGCCAAAAATGCTCACCCCCAACACAGAGCTCCAACCCCAGGCAAGGGCAGGGGCATGGGCACCAGAACAAAGGCAGGACACCAAGGAAAGGCCTGGGAGACAACCAGCTCTGCCCAGAGGTGGGGCTCCACATCTTCTTGAGCTGCTGTGGGCTCTGTTGTTGTTATTATGATTATGATTACTTTTCAAGAACACTAGGAAAGGAGAAGGAAAGAGGGAGGCAGAGGGAGTGGAGTGGAAAGCATCAGGACAGGGGGGACAGAAAGTGGCCCCTCTGGCAGAAAAATGGTGACCTTTGAACTTGGGGGACGAGAGGAGGGGCAGAGCAGGGCAGACACAGAGGGTCTGACCTCTGTGGATTCGGATGGAGGGAGGAGTGGTGGTCAGGGGAGGGCACAGACCTCCTCACAGGGCTCCTTCTTGTCCAGCCCAGCTCCCCGCCTGCCTCTTCTCCCAGGCACTTGGTCAAGGACTTATCTCTGCAAGGCTTGTGCAACTGGGAAGGAGGAAGGAAGTAGGAGGGAAGGGAGGAAGAGAAGCCAGTCTTGCACTCCCTATGACAGCTCCTGGAAACTGGCCTTCCCTTGGGCCAGTGGCCAAGGAAGCGGGCCAGGGAGGCACACGTGCTGGAGGCTGGTTCTGGTTTGGGTGGCCCTGCATCCAGGCCTCAGGAGTTCCCTTGGCGCAGCTGTGGTCTCATTGCCCCCCCTACTCCCCCAGCCAGTCCCATGGTCATGGGCTAGCAGGGCAGGAGAGAGGGGGTGTGAAGAGATCCCGCCCCCTCCACAGTCTGCCAGGGCCCAGCAGTCCTTCCAGGCACAGACTCGGCCCTCTGCCCTCCCCAGAGGGCAATGGAGTGAAGGGGGCACCCTCAGCTGTGGGTGCCTACTTGGCGCTGGTGCACTTCCTGAATGCCTGTTTTCCTAGAGAAAGGGCGGTGCAGAGAGGAAAGAGACCTAGTGGGGGTCCTCACACGGGGAATCTTTCTACGGAATGTCTAAAGTAGGAGCTGTGCTCCAGACCACATGTGGATGCCCACCACCTGTGACCCACACAAGAATTCTTGCAGAGGAAATATCCTGAAGCATGACAGCAAGAGGGCATGGCAACGGGGTGCTGCTGGCACCTCCTGTTTCCCAGGTCCCCTTTGCAACCTCAAGGGCCCTGGCAGCTAGTCAGGCCCACTTGACTCAGGAACCAGACCCACCTGAGGGAGGTCCACTCATGGGCAGTGGTGCTTACAGGCCACCTGCGGTCACCATGGCTGCCTCAGAGAGAGGTCCCTGCCCACCCACCTCCACAGGGAAATGCGGAGTGGGAGCCAGACTGCTGCAGCCCCCACAGAGGGGATGCTGCAGGGCCAGCCAGGAGACTGTGGCAGGGAGATTTTCCTGAAACACAGGGAGTGTGTGTGTGTGTGTACGTGTGTGTGTATGGGGGGGAGGTGACAGAGAAGGGAGAGCCAGGAAGAGAAACAGAGAGAAGGAAGAGGGAGAGAAGGGAGGGGGAGCAGGGAGGGGCAGAAATGGAGACAGGAGCTTTCTGCTCCCCTGCTTCCTGGTTTGTAGCTGGCAGAGGGATAGTTTTAAACCCACCCCCACTGAAGGCCTGAGAACAGGAAGGAGAAAGCCACCTGAGTCAGGAAGCAGGGGGTGGCACATGGGGGTGTCCGAGGAGGCACTGAGGTGGTACCACTTCGGGCATCCCCATCTGCTGCAGGTGATGAGCACTGAATAGGAGACCTTGCTGAAGTGATAAACTGTTGGCCAGATTGACTGGTGTCCTGTGAGGTCTATTCTGAATCCTGAAGGTATGGCTTGAACAAGGGAAAGGGTGGACCTTCCAATAAGCCCACAAGACAAGCAGCCCAGTGCCCACAGGCCTTTGGGACAGGCAGGATCTTCAGGCCAGGGGCAGAGGGAGGGCCATCCTGGGGCCTAAGGAATCCCAGAGAAAAGGCAGCCCTCACCCTTGTGAGCAACACGCTTGGTATGCCCCCTCCTCATTCATGCCAACCCATGCCTGCATGGGAGAACCACCCAGGGGTTCACCACGCCCCTCCTAGGGCATGTCTGGCTGCTGACATGGCCTTGTGCAAGCACTTTGACCTCCTCGAGCCTCAGGGCCTTTGCACCTGCTGTTTCCTCTGTTGGAATACTAGTCTCAGGTATCTACAAGGCCCGGCTCACAGTCTTCACTAAGGTTGCCTTCTCAGGCAGCCTTCCCAGACCAGTGTTTGAAATGGTATACCTTGTACTCTCTCCCTTTGCTTCTCCAAAGCACTTATCTCCTTGTAATTAGCCATGTGGCTAGCTGGCTGCCTTTGGTCTCTCCTTATTGTAGCAAAAGTTCCATGAGAGCAGGGATTTTTTTCTTTTTGCCTGTTTGTTCACAGCTATATCCTCATTTCCCATAACAATAAATTATGTATTGCATAATGTGTAAAATGTTGTTAACCCTATGAAAATATCCTGAGCCAGCAGCCGGGAGGCAGTATGGAGCACACTTGGGTGGGGGCAGGAGCTTGTACCCACAGCCCCTCACTCAACCAACAAAGAATGCTCTCCCACCAGCCTGGCAAGCAATGCACCTGAGTGAAGTACATGGGCGAG